AAAAAAAACTTCATATACACGACATTCATTGTTTCATTGTTTGACTGGCCGTCTTCACCGGAAATCAAAATTTAATCTCATTCCTGTTTGCTACCCTAGAATGTGACTAAAAATGAATTTCCTCAATAACTATCCTACACATGACAATGATTGTCCTTGCCTTTTGTTTTTAGTCATACCATAGGATGTCATTATTGGATATTGTTTCTTTGAAAACAGAATGACAATCTCGCATCAGGAGGTGTCAAGGAAAATCTTGGAATTAGAACTGTTTGACCTGCAAGATGTGATCCCCAACTTCATCAACATATGTCTCGTTCCATTACACAATCCCATAGAATGATCTATATCTCTCAACACAATCATTAGTGTTGTCACTTTCAACGTCAACTTATGATTGGGGACACCAAAAAGACGTATGCTAATTAATAACATAGGGGTATGTAATTCCGTCATAAGATATGTAGCTGAGTCCACTCTACAAACACTATCTGAACTTAAATATGTAGATATGTAGTCGAGTCCACCCTACTAATCGACCTAAACTCAAATATATCCTGGCGACTTTAGCTTCATTCATATTTGTCATATACTCATTCATTGAGTCCACATGCGTGCAGTTCTACTCCATGCTTTCTAATTCACTTTCTTGTTATTAGTTTTTCTTTATTTTCATTTAGCAAAAAAATCCTTAATCGCATGTATGATTAACTCTTGCGAGTTTCAATATGAGTATCTAATATAATATTATATAGTTTTAAAAGAAGCATTGATATGACATTTTAAAATGGACATAACACAAATACCGAATGAGCGAACATAAATAACGAAATGAGTATCGAAAAATTTGTCGTTCTTGAATAACAAAGGGTCGAAGGTTGAAGGGATGGAGTTAAGGACGACTTCTATAGGGGTTTCGTGTGTTCCTCTTTGGTTCTCCAAAGTCACAAGTATTGACCATTGGCTACAACAATCATAGCCATGACAGAAAACAAGAGACCAGGTCGCGATTGTCACTATGGCGAAGGTGCCATAAACCATCGATATGCGCGAAGGAGAGGGGCCTCCTCTTGCATCTGGTTTTGAAATTTAGTTTAAGTTGCTCTACTACACCGCCCTTATTTCACCCTCCATTTATGGTGAAAACTCAAATTTGGCATGAAAAACAAAAGGGAGAAGAAGTATCCATCTAAGGACAAAGTTAAAACTAAGAAAAGTGTAAGGGTGTGACACCGCACCCGAGCGTCCTTGAAATTCAAATTTAAATGCAAAGTTTATACTTTGAATTTCCATTTACCAAACAATTGTAAGACAATTGTTGTTTTATGTAACGCATGTTTGATCATTTTACCGTTGAGCTTGTATATTAGTGATGGGCTTCAAATACTTATTTGGGGCCGTATTATTAAATATAAGAGCCCAACATTATGTAAATAATGATGCATAACCTTTTGATACAAATTAAGGAAGGTCGGGCAGCCCAAACATTATTTTGGGTCCAACCTGCTAAAAATAGTAAGTATTCAAGAATGGCGTTTGAGGCCCACTCGAGGGTGACCCACACGGCTTGTAGCCCATGAACATAAATACAAAAGTCACAAAATAAGTGATAGAATGATTACATAAGAATACAAATGCCTATGGTCCCATCTTCGACATTATTGAGCTAAATTATGGGAGTGGGATTTTTCCTTCTATAATGTTCATCATTTAAATTATTGGGATGATCCAACACATATTGGGGATCAATAATATGATGTATGTAGTTGACGTGGCCTACATAAATTATAATGAGTACAAAAAGACATCTCATGACAAAGATAAAACAATAGGGTCCATCTTTTCCTTCTATAATGTTCATCATTTAAATTATTGGGATGATCCAACACATATTGGGGATCAATAATATGATGTATGTAGTTGACTTGGCCTACATAAATTATAATGAGTACAAAAAGACATCTCATGACAAAGATAAAACAATAGGGTCCATCTTTTCATTTTGGAAGTATTGGTATGTATTTTGGACCCCAAATTGAATGAGATCATTTGGGAACCATCCCACATGACCTTGGTACTTGCAAGACAAAGAAAAATTGGTGAGACAACTATGTGGAGCGGACATTTTGACTTAAGAGCTACAACATTACAAAAAGGAAATAAAAGAGGAGGTCCACACCATGTTTGATTGCAATCAAACACCCTACCCTTTCTTTTTGTGAACCACATGCTTAGATATCATTTTTGAGAGCTCCTAAACACCTCCCCCTCACCCCCCATTCGAACTGAAATAGATAAGAAAGAAGGGAAAGCCTCACACTCAAAAGGGAGAGAGATAAGAGAGTTGGCCGCAGGGATAATCTCTAGTTCGTGGAGCTCACTGTTTGGTTCGTATCTTGAGAAATACTCATCCAAAAAGGGTGTGTGAGGTGTCCACTGAAAGCTCTCAAGAACAGGGATCCATAGACGTGCGGTGTGAAAAGAATAGAGCAGTTTAAGACCTCCAAATTGTCCAAACAAAACACAACCTCGCAGAATACGTTTTTGTATTCAAAGTAAGTTTGAATCCAAACCTTCCTCTCTATTGTCTAAATCATATGAATGATTGAAGAACTATTATAAACTGGTTGAAGTGGATAAAATGTTATTATAAAGTGACTTTAATTGTTGGAAAGGTTAGATACTAACCTAGACAAAACCTTGAAAGGTTAGGGAACGAATTCGCCGGAAAAACACCCGTTCTAGGGGCTGTTTTCGTATCGACATTTAGGGGTTGAGCTAGCACTTTGAGCAGGCTGTTTAACACTCATATTTAAGCAAGAAAATCAGTTCTTAATCCACCTTGACCGGAGCTTGGACCATTGGATCAAGAAGGAAAAGTTTAAAGCTCAATAGAGGTGAGGATCGACATCTAATTGCTTACAACTTGTAAGTTAAGCATGAGATTACCTAGATGCCTAAATCATGATTTTTCATGGATTATGATGCCTAAATATTGATGAAAAAATGGATATAGTTGACAATGAATGAAATTGTAAATGATTTGAGGTTGTATGGATAATATGAGATTAAATGAGTTATTAATGAACTATTTTGTGAAATAGGCATTTTACTCATGTATTAAATATGTGGATACATAAATGGATATTTATGTATTGAAGTTGAATATTTAAGTTGCTGCTACATACTTATAAATATGTAGAGAATTACAAAATGCTGATATTTGTATGATGACAATAATCTTAATAGTATTGAAATACTAGTTAGTGATTATTTGAAATTGTTGATAGAATTGACCCTAAGTATTGGATTGTATGAAATGCACTTGAATGTACTTCAAGTGTATAAAATGACTTAGTATGAAGCTAAGGGTAAGTTATGGTCAGTCATTAAGAATGACCCAAGGTAGATTATTGAGATGTCAATTCTAGGCATAGGTTTGCTTAGGAATTGGACTATAATGAAGAATTAGAGCCGGACTCTACGATTGCATGGAAACGTAGTTGGGTCGAGCCCTTGCCATGTAATTGTGATTTGCATGGAAACGTAGTTGGGCCGAGCCCTTGCCATGTAATTGTGATTTGCATGGAAATGTAGTTGGACCGAGCCTTTGCCATGTAAATTGTGACTTGCATAGAAACGTAGTTGGGCCGAGCCCTTGATATGAAAATGTGATAGGATGTACTTGACATAAAGGATTGCATAGAATTGTAGTTGGGCCGAGCCCTTGATATGCAATGGTAATGTGATGAACTCTATGAGTTGTCATGACTAGTAATAATGGGGAACGGGAAATGGTGATTTCTAAATAAACATGGGCCTACGGGCCGACTACTTGACTTTGATATAAAGTGAGTATATTTTTAAATGGGGTAACTTGAGGTTACAGTCATATCATACTATCACCCTATTTGAGGTTACAGTTGTATATCCCTTAGATGTCATCCACACCAGTACTTTATAGCCCTATAGAGTACTGACCCCTTCGGGGGCATCCCACCACCATTTCAGGTTGAGGCTAGAGCTTGCTTCCTGTGCTCGTTGATCGAGTGATTTCCCGGAGAGAAGACTTGGTTCGTGCTTCCTCCATTCTGATTTGAACACTAATAAATTTGCTCATGGATATTTTAATTTAGAGCCTGCGTGCTCATGTTTGCCCCGTGTGGCATTTGATTTCGAACTATGTTTTCCGCTGCGTATTAAATTACTTGTTATGTATGTTTGTGGATGACTTACGTGTGAATGATATTCATGATGCCTTGTATAATATGAATGTGTGTGACTATGATTGACTATTCGTATTGTACGGCGGGTTGTTGACGTGTCCGGGTAGGTCCGGGGCGTGACAAAGGGAGCCTTTAGATCTATTCCATAAAACTACATCTACCTCTTTAGGAGTAGAAACACATGTTCCAGTGTTCGAGTCAGGGGCGTAGCTAGGGGAGGGCAAATCCTGGCCCTGACCCGACCCAAATTTAAAAAATGTTTATATTTTTAGAGTAAAAAAATCCGTGCAAATTTTTTTCAAAAAATATTCTTTATCCTGTCCGGCCCAGTGCTCTGGCTCCGCCCCTGGTTCGAGTAAAATTGCAAAAATACTTCCTAGTGTTCTAAATTGCTCATATAAATAGTATTTTAGAAGCATATTGATCAATTTATGAAAAACTGATTATCATTCTTCTTACATAGTACGGAGTATGTTTTAAGTAAATAAACAAAAGTAAAATCAGATCCAAACGCTCCAAATTGGAAAGAAAGAGCGTCTAACTATTAACACCCAAAGTACAAATAATTACTGCGGTACAAATTATACTTTACAAAGTACTCTCCGTCTCATAAAATAGTTCTTGCATTAATTTGGATCAGACTTTAAAAAAGTGAGAATAAACTGTAAATGTAAGACTATAGTTGAGTAAGAAAAATATAAATGAGTGTAAATCACACAAAAGTTTCCAAAAGGAGAAATAAAAACCATTTTTTGGAACGATCCAAAAGAAAATGGAGACCTATTTTGGCTGAAGGAGAAATGTAATTTATTACAAATCAAAACTGTATCTCTACATCCCGCTGAGAGTTCAGGCAAGTAGGTAGCTATGGGGGCTTCGTAACTTTTCTTTTTAAATCGCTTCGTTTCCCACCTTCCGTCGTTTTTGTCTATGGTCGTCGTCAATCGACGAAGATCGACGTTTTAGCGATTTCGCGGTATAGCTCGTCGTTCCGGCGATCTTGATGTGATTCCCGATTCCATGTACGATACAGATCGCCCCTCCACATTCTCCCCGTAATATCGTCCGGTCTTACGAGCGAGGCAACTCGCGATAACAGCATTGCGTATAAGGTTTACTTTACCACAATTTCAGATCTAACAAGACCTCACACTCTTTTGGTGGAACCATCAGCCAATGAGGCATGCAAATATGCAAAATATTGGTGGGCAGTCGATGCGAATCACACGTTCTAGGGCTAAATCATTTGCCTCTTCTGATGGACTGCCCCCTTTACATCCTTCAGGCATAGAGAATGGGAAACAGGTCCAGCGAGCAAGCCGCAAAAGAGCAGCATCAGATGAAAACATTTCAATTAGTGGGGCCCCTTATGTTCAATCGAATAAAAGAGCAGTTCTTAGAAATGTCACAAATGTAGTCTGCGAGAATTCGTACTTGAACTGTATGCCTGGAACTAAAGTTCAGGTACCTTTTCTTCATACTGGGCTTCAATATACTTTTAAAAACTGAAAGTTCATTTCTCTATAGAGTTGTATGTGGTTGAAAATAAATTTGATGGTGGCAGGATGGAAAAAATCGGGACAAGAAAATTACAAAGGTGATACCTGCGGTGTTAGGTAAAAAAAGGGCACATGTTGTGGATGATATGAAGGAAAGTATAACTGAAGAACCAGACAATTTGAAGGTTGAAAAATCAGAATGTAGCTCATACACAAACTGTAAGCAGAATGCATTAGCACAGAAAAACAATAGTGCCACCATAGGACAAAGTACGGTATGTGGTGTTCTGCAATTAGTGAGGTGCAACTCCAAAATTGTTCCACAGACGACTACACCCCCAACTGGTAAGATGTTCATAATATTCAAAATATGCAACACATAAACATTGTTGTTCTTTTTTATGCATACCGTTCTAGGATTCCCGGAGCAGTTGAGTAGTTTTGACAGATTTATTAAGCCACCTAATATGTGATCGATTAGTAATGTCTGGTGTTTAAAGCAGCTGTCTGGTATCATATACCTCCAATAATTGGTAATGCTGTTCAAGTTACTTGTTGCAGATGATGGCAAAATTACCCCAAAGATAAATGACTTGGCTAGTCTGGGAATTACAGATATAGATACAAATCACATGGATCCACAACTGTGCACTCTGTATGCTGCTGATATATATGCAAATCTGCATGCTAATGAGGTCTGTATAAATTTCATTGTTGATCATAGTTATACCAATAATCTTCAAATATTGATGTATTCTGAACATCACATCTTGGAATATGGTTTCATTCTAACTTTTCTATTGCCCTACCCCCTTCCTGGCTGCCTCTATCAGCTTGACCGGAGACCCTCTGTTGATTACATGGAAAAGATTCAGCGAGACATTACTGAAGGTATGCGGGGCATTCTGATTGATTGGCTTGTGGAGGTAAGTTGTACCTTTTTATGTTTCTATTTGCTTCACATTGTCATGATGTCTTCTGTAACATTTTGCATCTTCACATTGATATTTGCTGCATGACCCATTCTCTATTTAAATACAATTATGTTTTCTCATCATTGATAGACTAATAAACTATGTGCTAGTATATCATTCTATAGTTGGTTTTTTAAAATCCAAGGTCATTTCATTTGAAAAGGCTCAATGTCAGTATAGGACAATTGGTGCCCACTATGTCTATGCAAATAAGATTTTTTCTGGACAATAGTTCTTGTATCTTGGTATCATCGTATGTTGATTCATAAGTGTATTAACTTTCAGGTTTCTGAAGAATACAGGCTGGTTCCGGACACCCTTTATTTGACAGTGAACCTTATTGATCGGTTTCTCTCAAAAAACTACATTGAGAAACGAAAACTGCAACTGCTTGGCGTTACATGCATGCTAATTGCGTCGTAAGTTCTTCATGTTGTTTGGAACTGTCTGCACATCAAGAGAACATTTCATTCCTGTTTACCTGGCAATTCCACCTGAGTTCAGCTATATAAAGGAAAAAATGTCACATATGATTAGGCGCAAATATGCAGTGATCTTCCTAGAATTGGATTTTAGGTAGAGAAGTTCTACAGAAACTCATCAGGAGTTTTGAAATGATGGAGCTAATGCTATTAAGTTATAAAAGCCACTTTTTTGGTTTATTTCTTCATTTTAAGGCTAGTTTGTACTTAACTACTTACTACCATTCTAGATAAGTACTGATCTCTCATTGTTGGCTTCAGAATTAGTTGAAGTTCTTACTTTTCTGTTAGATGCTGATGGCTGAATATGTTAAATATAGAAGTATTAACCTAGTTTTGCTGTAATAGTCTTACTCCAACACGAGTCTAGTATACAAGAAGATCTGTATTCTAATTTTTTATTAAAAGAAAAAAAAGATATTTTGGGATTTAGGTGGTAAAATCCACGAAAATGATGATACAACAACAACAACATCTAAGCCTTATTCCCAAAAGATGTGAGGTCGGAAAACGTGAATAAAAAGATAAAGTAAGATAAGATAGATTTGATAAAGATAAATATAAGATAAAAATAACATAAGAACATAAGACAAATAAAAGACAAAATGATAAAAGAGCCGAAAATAAAGATGATGTTGAAAAATGAAAACGGAAATAGTACCAAAGCTTTCTACTTTTGAATTTGTTTTTGTACTTCGTTATCGTATCTTTATACTTCCTCTGTCCGTATATATAAACTTTGCACTTTGAATAGCACACATTTTAAGGAAATATTTTTTTCCGTTGACTTGCTGAAATGCCCTTTCTGCTGAGGGTAAATTTTACGGTACAATGCACTATTTTGACATTCTTTGGCATTGTCTGACATTGTTTGTTACTGGCAGTCATTATTACTCAAGGGTAGTATTGTAAATGTATAGAAATTTGTTTTCCAAGTAAGGAAAGAGAAGACTTTATTTAGGGACATCCAAAAAAGAAAATGTGGGGAGTTTTTTTTAAGGGATAGAGGGAGTATATGTCAATGTTATTATACGTAAAAGTATAACACATTATACTTGGATTAGAATAGGACCATCCTAATGGGTTCATATGCAAGAGTGCATTGACCATCGGAGTCTGTCATCCTGTTGCAACATTCAGAGCCTGCATCATTTTTGCAGTGGTTTTCGTAAACTAACATTTTCCTCCCTCTACTCATTTGCCTTTTTAGAAAGTATGAAGAAATTTGTGCACCACGCGTTGAAGAATTTTGTTGTATTACAGACAATACATACTCAAGAGAAGAGGTATACTTCTAAAGAATCCTTTTTTCGATAATAAATATGGAAATATGTACAGTTCATTGTTATCATTCAAGTCAAGAATCTTTTATTATTTCCTCTTGATTTATTTCCAGAAAATGGTTGTAAGCATAGAGCATAGCAGTGGTATAATCCATGCATCAAAAGAATGTTCAATGAAACTTTGTATTCCATTTTACTTGGCAGGTTGTTAAAATGGAGAGTCATGTTCTCAACCTTTTGGGCTTCCAACTTTCTATTCCTACAACCAAGAAATTCCTTAGGTACTAAAATTAGCATATTTACTTCTTCGATATTTGTCCACTGCAAACACTCTGTTTACTTGGTTCACTGGCTCTCACCATATATTTTTGTGAAAAATTCTGATTCATAGGAGGTTTGTTCAAGCAGCACAGACTTCTTATCAGGTAGTAAATTATAGAGGAGTGTCTCATTTAGTGCGCATTTATATTCTCAATGATGTGTTAATATAGAACCTAAAAGAGAATTGTTCTGAAATGCAGGTTCCTTCTGTTGAATTGGAATTCATGGCAAATTATTTGGCAGAGTTAACTCTTGTTGACTATAGTTTCCTTAAGCTTCTCCCTTCTCTTATTGCTGCTTCTGCTGTATTTCTTGCAAGGTGGATTCTTGATCAGTCCACACACCCATGGGTATGCATATTTTCCACCCTACAACATATTTTTAAGTGTTGTATTTGAAAGGGCCATAATAAATGCAATGTAATCAAGTTTATGTGTAATGCAAACAGTTGTCCACATTCTCGTCCAAGGATGTAATCAAATACTTATTTCATTTTCCTTTTTGACAAATAAAGAGCTTGATAACTGACTTAAATTTCAATATGTTTTCATGTTCATTCCTATTATGTTTAAAGATTTGTACACATCAGAACAATTACACAAAACACAGGAGAGTTTGATTTCATTATAGTGTGCTATTATGGTCTGGAAACGATACCTTAAATCATTGATTCATATTTGAGAATTGGTTTTCTCTTGCAGAACCCAACCCTTGAGCATTACACCAGGTACAAGGCATTGGATCTGAAAAGTACGGTTTCAGCTTTGCAAGACTTACAGCTGAACACCAAGGGGTCATCTCTAAATGCCATTCATGAAAAGTATAAGCAACCTCAGGTAACTTATTATGATCCTGGTGTACATGTTTACAGCATATCTGGTACAAGTTTTTGAACGAGATTCTTGAGATCGTAGGATACGCATAAAAATAATTTGCTTCTTATACAATGTAACAAAGACATCAATGCTCTGCCTTCTGTCTCAAACTCTTTGTCCCACCGAAGTTAGTTTCTCCTGTAATTTGCAGAAGGAAAGTTTTTTTTTTTTAAAGCAAAATAATCAACTACTATTAATCAACTCATTAGTCAAAGCAGAAACTCCCAGAAACTCATTGTCCCATCCTTCCGAGTGAATCCAAGATTACGCCTCTCTGATGCCAAGCAACTCCCCTTCCCTAGCTGAGCACTGACCAAACCACGGTTTAGCCACCCCTGCCACAAAGTTCCCTGCCGAGTCACGTACAACCCAGCCCAACCCTTGCCTTGCTCCACTCGTCAAGGAAAGTTAGAAAAGGGTTACCTAGGTTAAATCAGATTTAACCAAAACAAGTTTAAACAATACAGCCGCCTATACATCCGCAAATTTATTTTTTGCTTGCTATTTATTTTTCACATGCTTGTTGCGTTATTGGAATCAGATGGTTGAAGACTTATTTAGGAAAGGGAAAGAAATAATGTCAGCACACGATTCTTTTTTAAATGAATGTAGAGATAGTTTGGGGAGGGATCATCACTATAAGTTTCCTTAATGATTTATACCAGGTCTAATTTACCAAAATTTAAAAGATGCATCTCTAAAAGAAAATTACTATACGCGCCATATATATTGAGGCAGAAAATGGTTTTTTTTTTGCATAAGAAAATGGAATTTTAAAACTCGCTAGTTAACTGGACCCAAGGTCTGTCTTATTAATACTATTTCTTAACTCTTGCAGTTCAAGTGTGTGGCGACAATAACATCACCAAAAGCAGATTTATCTCTGTTCTAGAAGTATCAGACTCACCCATGCTGCTGCTGCTTCTACTGTCTATTAGTATTAGATGTCCTTCGCCTACCCTCCCTAAGTGTCAGATAAAAGCTCTCATTCATTTGTTCATTCCCCTCCATTCTCAAATGGCTAATGCATCTGTTAGATCAAATTTTGGTACAAATGTTAACATGGGATTTTCAGATGCAATTATTCTAAAGCACGATGGTGTTATTAGACTGCATCACTGTATCTAGGAAAGCCTTGTAGTTAAGAAGAAAGCTAAAGCAGCAGATGCATAGTTTAGTTGCTGCCTTAAAGGAGCTACCTAAGCTCCTTGTGTACAAACAATTGCAACTCTGGTGCTATTTATCACTACTGCTCAATATACTTGATCCATTATTTTTTTTTAGAAAAAAACGATCCCAATAATCCATGCCTTGTGCATTTTATCAAGATGATGTAAATTCTTTAAATCAGACAATAAGATAGCTAATGTGATTTTGTAAAATCTTTAAATCAGATAGGTAAGATAGATAATGTATCAATTATGAAAAAAATTGTGAGATACTTCCTCATAAACAACATGGTCTCAACCTCATTTTCAAGATGACATGATAATCCTGAGACAACATATAATTGTTCATGGCTCAAAACAAGATTCTTTGATAACAGACCGAGGTAGGAATTTGCGTTGACTTTCATGGATAGTCATTGTGGCCTTGTTTGGTTGGAGGATTTCGGAAGGGAGGGGAGGGAAATGAGTGCTTTGTGTGTGTTTGGTGGAAGGAAATTAGGGGGAAGAGGAAAGTGGAAGACTTCTAAAATCTTCACTTTCTCTCATTCTAAATCCCCAAATTGGGGTATTTCGGGGGAAACGTGTTGATAATCACAAACTATCAATCTCCTATGTGAATGGACAAAATGTTGTAATATAAAAAAAGGTAAAAAAGGTAAAAGAAAAAGTTAAAAAATTAAAAAATTTAAAAAATTAAAAGATTAAAAAATTAAAATTAATAAGTTAAAAAAATTCAAAATTCAAAAATAAAAAAATTCAAAAATGAAAAAATATAAAATTAAATTAAAAAACAAAAAATTACTCCCTTCGTCCTAAAAAGGTTTGCCAAATTTCCTTTTTGGATATTCCAAAAAGACTTGTCATTTCCATTTAAAGTAAGGAATATGTGATTAAAGTTAATTCTCTTTCCTCTGCACAAATTTCAACCACACAATTTTTACTTTATTAATCCACGTGAAAGTCAAAGTTGGCGAACCTTTTCGGTACGGAGGGAGTATAAAATAAAAAAATGTAAAATTAAAAAAGTAAAAAAAATGTTACTACGTATGACCATTGTTCTAAAACTCGCTAGGCGCTAATCGAGCGGTTGAGGTAAGATATGATAAAAAGACAAAAAATAGAGATAATATTAAATGTATATATATATATAATTGATAATAAAAAGGTATTTTTCAAATGATACTAGAATATAGGTGTCATATGAAAGAATAATGAAAAATTATTCAATTCAATACATTTTTGTTAAAGTTGGAGAACAAATGAAAATAATATCACATTTTATAAAAAATGTTATTTTATACTTCAATTTAAATTGGATTATATATATATATATATATATATATATATATATATATATATATATATATATATATATATATATATATATATATATATATATATATATATATATATATATATATATATATATATAGGGGTTAGTTCCTGTGAGAACACCCTCTTAGGAGAGGAAAAAAGATTAAAATCCAACCATTGAATAATCTAATCGTGTGTCTAAGATGAGGGCTTGGGTTTTTGAAAAACACACCTGCAGCTCACGTGATTGAACGAAAAACGAAATGAGTGCATTAAAGTAAAAGAACTAAGGGTAAATTAGTAAAAGTTATTTGAATCCTAATAACTACACACCTACGTAACTAGTGGACTTTGGTGAAGTAAGTTGGAAGGTCCGGATATTTCTCTACTATTTATGGTAATTGATCAATTCAATAGTTGGAAGATTTCTAATAATTTGGAAAATTAAATGCTCCCACTACGTATGACACTCTATTATGTTTTGTTTTTCAATTTGACGTTCAAATCCCAAAATCAAATTATTTTATTTTATTGCATTAATCACGTAATTTAATTTCATATTATATATCTCCTTATAAATATTAAATTTCAGTTGATCAAAAGTGTTGCACCACAACTTTGTATATATGAATGCACTGTGTTTTTGAAAACGAATGAACTTTTATTATAAACACTATACACAAGTAATATCACAAGATTTACACTCATGAGTATAGAACAGCTGCACTTTTATGGTAAAATTTCTGCAACGTTAAAATAGTTAATGATTTGATTTTTTTAACAAACAATCATTTAAATAATCAACACCACTTATCAATGAAATGAATATGAAGTGACATGTCATTTTAATACATAATACTCCACTTTTGTAAATTGCACGTGTATTTCATTAGCTCGCACTCTCTAAATATTATATTGCACTTCAAACATGCACGTGTGCACTTCCATACATTTTAATCAAAACGATTTAAAATAAACTAAAGTAAATATACAAGGGTGTGAATTATCAACTATCACTTGTAATTTAAATATATAGAAAACACCATTTTTATATCATGCTTTCTAAACCTCTAAACTAACACCTTTTTATAAAATGAAATGCACTTTAATAATGTTCATTATTATATACGCAAAAGTGCACTATTATATAACAAACTTATACTACGTAAAATTTAACATATGCACTTTTCACAAAAATGAAATGCATGTTTCTTTCAAATGCATCACAATGTTCGTTATCATGTGTCTTCTTACTACACTTCACATACGCTTTTTATGACCTTGTTGTTGGGACAATCTATATCATCCATACCACTTGCATGATTCGTCTTGATACATCCATTTATTGCTAAATCCATTGCAATGCAATCAAAATCATGATAAAGTGCACCATATGTAGTTGTGAAAGTGCATAAAAAGTTATAGAACATAATAGTGCACTAGAAGTGCATTAATAATCCATGTGTCAGGGAGTGCACTTGTTGTGATTTAGATAGGAATATCATAGCACACATAAAATAATAAATATTATTAAAATGAAAGAAAATATTTGAAAAAATCGAGAGCAAGCATTTCAATTTTAGTGCAAGTAAGCAAAATAGTTAACAATATAAACACATATCTAAAAAAAATGTTGTAATGCAAAATGTGTATTACATAAAATAGTTTAGTGCATCGTAATTAACAACACACTCTATGCAAAGTAATAAGTGAAAAATAATTTCAGAAAAATCAATAAAAACAAATAACTGTTCAGGAACAAAACAAAATATGGCCATATATATAACCCACTAAAATCTCAAAAATGGAAAAGTGAAACCCATAACAATATAGAATAGAATATGCTTACGTATGGAGCTACGTTGAAATGACTAGAAGAATTATGAAAATATATTGAATTTGTGCTAATTGAAATTCATATCTAGAAGATTCCTTGAGTGGATAACTATTAAGGTACGGTGGATTTTCACACTTAAGATTTTGACAAGGAAAGAATTTGGCAAAATAATTAAGGAAGGAAACGGTAGTCAGAATGAAAAAGTCGTAAATACCCTAGAGGAGCATTAATCGTATGAATGAATTGGAGTAAGATCTAATGGTTGATATCTATTCTTTTTTCCTCTCCTAAGATTAAGTTCTCACATGAACTTAAATCTATATATATATATATATATATATATATATATATATATATATATATATATATAATTGATAATAAAAAGGAATATTTTTCAAATGATACTAGAATATAGGTGTCAAATGAAAGAATAATGAAAAATTATTCAATTCAATACATTTTTGTTAAAGTTGGAGAACAAATGAAAATAATATAACATTTTATAAAAAAATGTTATTTTATACTTCAATTTAAATTGGATTAAATTTGAGTTGTACATCAAAACAAAGTTACGAGAAGTTAAGCATATACTCCGTATAATATATGGAGTTTGTACGTAATTGTAGGAGTACAAATATAAAGGGGTCAAAAGGGTCTAAGTAAGGTTAGGTAAAGCAATTCAGGGGGTGCGCCCAGCAAGTCAGCAACCCCCTCCCTTAATTTGATTTTTTTTTATTTAGCATCAATTCGGGAAAGAACTAATTGACCACGCCTGAACTCAAATAAGTTTAAAAGAACATTCACTCTTATGTTTTTTATTTCATTTATGAAAATTAATTTACTAATTAATTATTGGGCAAAATGTAATTTTATTTAATTTGTAGAACCTTGTTTTCTTTTATACATGACAAGTAGAATTTGTAGAAGAATCTAAATGTCCATTTAGTGACTTCAGTCAAAACTTCATCAATCTCAGCAAATCAACCGATTCGACCAATTTTGGTGTTATCATACATGCTCTAAATAGGAACAATATTTCACAATTTTACGCTATTAAAAATAAGACATTTTAATTTTGGAGGCGAAAGTTATACCTAACAAAAATATTGGTCTCAATGTTATCATTTGTCTAAATGGATATCCTAATTCCTCTAAAATTTGAATGCATTGAATTCCAAACCATCATTTCATTTTTCACAATAATAAAGATAAGCCAAATATAATACTCCTTCCGTCTCATTAAGATCTTCTTGCTTTCCTTTTTTAGGTGTCCCAAAATGAAGTTCTCATTTCTCTAAATGGAAAGTTATATCCTACATTAAAATAGTGTCAAACAGTACAAAACAGTGTCAAATAGTGTCAACTAGTGTCAAACAGTGTACTCTACAGTAGAGCCAAATTTATTTCCTTAATGTGTGTAGGTCAAACTATGAAGTTCTTAGCGGGACGGAGGGAGTATTTGCATTAAGCAACGAATATCTACTAATATTTGTTCTTACACAGCCAATTGTACACTACCATACCAAGTGTTATTTTAAGGATCCATATGTACATTGTCATGTCAAGGATCACCTTAAGCTAGAAATGAGTTGAATATCCTTATATGTGATTATTGATAACATGGTCTACACAAAACTTTTTTGAAAGCTATGATCCTTTTTGTACGATGCCAACATATATGATAGTTCATTTTTATAAAGCTTCCTTAGGGCCATCGAAGAAGAGACTTAAATTCTGAAATCATGGTATTTCATTATCAAGTAGTACTTATTCTTACACATTACCCTTATTGTAAATTGACTTGCAATTTTTCATACGATCAACATTTTCTTCTTTCCCACACACTACAATTATATAATCATAGTTAAAATATTTAAACTCTACCATATTGTTTTATTTAAAATAATTGAATATTATGTCATCACAATAAAAGTTAATTTTAAAC